AGTAAGGGTTATAATCCCTAAGCGCGGCCGAAGGCCGCCTACGCAGAGAGAAGTTCTGCGCAAAAATACTTCCGCCCTTCTTTTCCGGCAACACATAAAGGAGAATTCTACTTAGTAAGGGTTATAATCCTTAAGCGCGGCCGAAGGCCGCCCACGCAGAAAGAAATTCTGCGCAAAAATACTTCCGGTCCCCTTTTCCGGCAACACAGAAAGGAGAGTTCTACTTAGTAAGGGTTATAATCCCTAAGCGTGGCCATAGACCGCGTACTCAGAAAGAAGTTCGTTTTCATGTATGCACTATTTCGGTTTTTATTATATGGATTACTTCGGTTTTGAGTCGAAACTGTGCATGTATGCATTACTTCGGTTTTTGTCATATGCATTATTTCGGGTTTCAACCGAAACTGTGCATATATGCATTATTTCGGTTTTTTCATATGCATTATTTCGGTTTTCAAACGAAAGTGTGTATATGCATAATTTCGGTTTTTCTAATATGCATTATTGCGGTTTTCAACCGAAACTATGCATATATGCATTATTTCGGTTTTTTTCATAACATTATTTCGGTTTTCAACCGAAACTGTGCATATATGCATTATTTCGGTTTTTTTCGAATGCATTATTTCGGTTTTTTTCATATGCATTATTTCGTATGCACAGTTTCCATATGCACAATTTCAGGGTGCCGTTTCAATCGTCGTCTGCATCTATTGTCCCACAGGAAGCCCACCCGTCCTTGGACCGCTCGTTCCGGTCATTGATTTACGGCGGTTCTCCTTTTTGCTATTACTCCAATCACTTCTTTTAATTAGTCTCCACCCTTCGTCATCTTCCCCTCCCTCCCCTATATTAATTTAACCACTCATTTATGACTCCCTTTATACGTTTCAAATTATATAACAATATTTATTGTAGGACATTTATAAAAAAAAAAGTTTACTGTATAAGCATATATGTAGTTATGTACTAAAAAAGAACTCAATTGGTATTTCCGGTCGCATAAAAAAACCCAAACCTGAATTCGCAACTACTACGCTGCAACAACCACGGGAAACCCTAACAGCCTGCTTAAAAGAGCTCTCTTAGCGGATATATATATATATATGTGGTTTTTTCTGGGAGCAGGGTTTTCTCAGCTCAAAAAAGTTCTTAAATTACTGTTGGTTTGGTGTTTTTTTGTTTTGTTTGACGGGACACCGACAAAAATTACACACGCAAAAGGGTGTTAAAAATAGTTAGTTTGGAAACAAAAACATATTTAATATCTTAAAACTATTACCTTGACTGCGCCCCTGGATTCCTGCTAGCTCGTTTCCCCGCTGCACTTACGTTTAAAAGCTTCGCACAATGTTCTTTTACAGTGTGGTTGTAGCCCCTGCTGAGCGACTCAACGGGTGACACCAATAAAAGTTCCGAGAGTTATTGGCGTGGGGTATTCCCACTCACACGATCAGTCGCTAAAAGCATACAATTTATATATCGCTTAAAATCTACCACTCACTAGCGAGTTGTGCCGCGCCCCTCTGCATCCACGGACGTACAAAATTAAAACTCCTGGCACACTAGGGCAAGTCACCACAAAAAATATAAATACCTAACTTGATTTTCTACACGTTTGCTGCTTACATCTCGCCGGGGTACTTGCTGCCTAATCCACTGGCCTCTAGCCCGCGGCCGCTACATTCCCATGGTACTTCCGTTGCCTCCAAATAGTGCGCTGCTTTAACGCGGGTAGTCTTTCTTCCGCTTGGGGAGGATCCTAACTTCAGCGGATTTGCGTCCTCTTCTATTCGGGTATAGTTTTCTGGACTTTTTGCCCACACACGCTTCGTTTCTTCTCCTTGGCCAAGGATTTTTAGGAAACTTCCAACGGCAAGACTCCGCGCTAATTTTTTGCACGCTTGCACAATTTCCCGCACTGTGGATGTCGACTTCATTTAACGCGAGGCAGTTTTAACTACTCTCCTACCGCTAACCCAGCATCCTAAAACAAATAAATATATGTCCAAATAAGTTTGGAAAAGTTTTGGATCTCGTTTATGTTGATGACGTTCCGAAGCCCTCTATTAATCGGTGTGATCCCCTAGTTTGGCCAGAGGATGCATACCATCCCGCTCTTTTAGTTAAGCTACGAAATCATAAATGAAATAAATAATAATAATAAGTATAGTTCAAGTATTAGATATGTTTTTGTGAAAGCTAATTTCAGAAAAATTAAGAACTTTCAAAGTTATCTTGGCCAATATATAGAGATGACGTGGAGCGTAGCGTTGAACACTTTAATGATACTGTTTCCAATTTGTTTCCAAAGTATGTACCAAAACGTAAAATTGCTCATGAAGAACCAACACAATTATAGTTCACTAAAGAGCTTAAAAAATTTAAAAATAAAAAGTCACATTCTTTTAAACTGTATAAAAAACGAGCTTACACTAAGGCTGGAAAGTTTTGAAAAAAAAATTGCTTCCCGATTCTAGAATCTTATTAATCCTTACGATTCTTGGTATTGAATAATCGACGGCGAGATTCGAATCATTCGATTATAATCGATTCTCAATTTAAATATTTCTATATCTATAAGAACGGCCAATTAAACAGCCATCAATCATAGCTAATAATGCTTTAATCATAGCTTATAATGAATCAATTATTATTATTGTAACAAGAGTTTCAATAATAAATTTTAATAATATATTTTCGGAAAAATCACTTAATTTGTGATTGACACATATTCACGGTACTGTGATTTTGGGTTCGGTTTTAGCACTTCAAAATGAAAACGGTTTGGTTGGTGGTTCGGTTCAAAGACCAAAGCGACGGTTCGGCTCAAAACCCGACTCGGCTCAAAACTTGGTATTTACTACCAAAGCGTTGGAGGTTTGAATACCATATTAACTGACTTATATTAAGAGGTTTTGACTGCAATTATAATATTATTTCCTTGACCGAAACACGGCTCAAACCTCATATTTCTAATTCCGAAATTCTTCCAAATGAATATCAAATATGCAGTAGAGCTGTAAAACTATCGATATTCATCCCATTCGATGTTTTAGATAGTTTGCATTGAAACTATCAATACTATCGATAGTATCGGACAATTTTAAAATACCGTGACGAAGCTTTTTAATAAACCTTTTAGTTTTATTTAGTTTCTGAAGAATTATCTAATTGTTCTATAGCGATTTTCAGTAACTTTGTCCTTTCTCTTCGATTTTTAAAATATGTTAAACCGATAATATAAAAACCTAAAATTCGCAATCGTAGAAAAACAAAGATATTCAAAACTATTTTTTTTTTCAAATTTAATTACACCTGATTTACATGATTCAAGTACTTTAAAGCAATTCTGGTTCGTTCTCTTTTGCATTTTTTATTTGCTTTTACACGCTTCAATTTTGTTGAATTCCAGTTTTTAGTTCTTTAAATGGGAAACAACGAAAATGTCAAAAGCAAAGCAAGAAACTTGAAACCACTTGACGGTACAGACGCATATGTATTCTTCCCTTTTCTTCTCAACCCCTTTCGTCCACTAGCAAGCAGAATTGCATTCAATACTTGAATCGTGTAAAACCCGGTAATGGGTAAAAAAATTGTAATATATAAGCAAATAAATGTTGCCAAATTCCCATTTTCAAAAATAAAGAAATTCATAAGTAGTACATATAACATACACAATAGGGGTCTTCATCAAATGTGATAAAGGGATAAATGACTTAAATTTATCAGTTTATCCGCATCCTTTCCTGAACGCACCTTGGTGGGCAAATATTCACATAAAACTGTTGATTATTTAACTTATATGGCTAGGTACGTTTCATTCTTACCTCGTCCATTGTGTTCATTTGCTTTTATGGCTTCGTAGCAAAAGCGACTACCTTGTCACGTACACGTACCTCCATATCCGCCTTTTAGTTTTTGCCATCAATGTGGTGACCCATGCTAGCTCAGCATATGCTTTTGGCGCGTTTCTTAACCCTTGGCCACATTGGTGCAAGGCGGATGTTTCAATCGGGGCACCGAAATTGCGCATATGGAAACTGTGCATTTAGACATTATTTCGGTTTCAACCGAAACTGTGCATGTATGCTTTATTTCGGTTTTTGCCATATGCATTATTTCGGTTTTCAACCGAAACTGTGCATGTATGCATTACTTCATTTTTTTCATATGCATTATTTCGCTTTTAAAACAAAAGTATGCATATGCATAATTTCGGTATTTTCTCATATGCATTATTTCGGCTTTCAACCGAAACTGTGCATGTATGCATTACTTCGGGTTTTTCATATGCATTAGTTCGGGTTTCAACCGAAACTGTGCATGCATGCATTATTTCGGTTTTTGTTATATGCATTATTTCGGTTTTCAACCGAAACTGTGCATGTATGCATACCTTTGTCTTTCACATATGCATTATTTCGGTTTTCATCCGAAACTGTGCATGTTTGGGGTTATGTTGAGGGATGCCAGGAATTGTTTCCAAGATAAATGATGAGCAATCGTTTATTTGTACTAACGCGAGAATCTTTATTAAAGTATTTTGATTACAATTATGATGATGTTAAATGGAATAAATATTTGACGAGCGAAAAGAATACAAAACTGAAATGCGTAGTGAAAACGCGTGCGGTTCTTTTTGATGATGTCGTAACTGTCACACCGCTCAGCGAGCCTATTTTCATCGTACGTCGACAGCTATTTGAGTGAATTATTGGGAAGTGTTCAGAAAATCCTTAACATTTCCCGCCCACCTCGTCGTATGTCGACGAAAATTACGTTCGCCGCCCACCGTAGGTGTCCTAGTCCGAGGACTTGGGCGTTTCTGTAGGAATAGGCAGCACAGATATTTTCGAGATTGGCCGCTGGAACGCGGTAGTTGCCGTTTTTAAGCTCACGACGCGAACAAGTCCATCAGAGCCCGGATCGGTGTCTGTAATTCGAGCCAGTTTCCATTGAGTAGGGGGTGCTTTTTCATCTCTAACAAGCACAAGTTCTCCAACCTTGACATTCGGTTGTTGTTTATGCCATTTGGAGCGAACTTGCAAATGATGTAAATACTCTACAGACCATCTGCGCCAGAAGTCTTGATATATCTGGCTAATTTGTTTCCAGCGGTACAAAACACCACTCTTTGTATCGAGAAGATTAGGTTCTGGCACGCTGGTAAGAGCGCGTCCAATTAGCATGTGCCCTGGTGTCAACGCAGCGAAATCCGTAGGATCATCTGTGAGTGCCGTAAGTGGTCTAGAGTTTAGACACGATTCGACTCGCTTGAGCACTGTGTAAAATTCTTCAAAGGTGAGTGTTGTAGTGTTGATTGTGCGTTTTAACAAGGCTTTCATGCTTTTAACGCCGGCTTCCCAAAGCCCGCCAAAGTTTGGGGCTCCTGGGGGTATGAAGTGCCAGTTTATACCAGTCCGTGAGGCATAGCTAGCCGCGGCGTCCAACTGCTTCCGAAATTCTTTAAGTTCTTCTTTCATGAGCGCGTCAGCACCAACAAAGTTAGTACCTCTGTCGCTATACATGTCTGAGCAGATGCCACGTGCAGCTACAAAACGTTCTAATGCATGAATAAATGATTGAGTTGTCATGTCGCTTACCAACTCAAGATGAATGCCTTTACTGGCCAAACAAACGAACAATGCCACGTAACCTTTATAACTCTTGTGTCCCCGCCCCTTGGTTGCTCGTATATTGAATGGTCCAGCGTAATCGACGCCGGTGTGCATGAACGGGAATGTTACAGTGCAACGTGCTGCCGGAAGGTCGCCCATCATTTGCTTTTGTGGGGTGCAGCTATGTCGATAACACTTGACACAGCTGCTTATTACACGTTTCACTTCCGTACGCCCATCGATAACCCAGAACTGGCGTCTTACATAACCCAGTGTTGCTTGCGTACCGCCATGAAGACACCGCTTATGAGTATGGTGCACAATTAAAGACGTGAGAGGATGCCGTTTGGGCATGACAATAGGGCATCTTTCGTTGAACGGCATATCTGCTTGTTGCAATCGCCCACGTAGACGCATAATGCTTTCAGAATCCAGTGTTAGACTCAGCTTTCTTAGCTTACTTTTTTTTGAAAGTTCTTGTTGTTGTTGTAGATCTAACATTTCTTGCTTAAATTCAGCTTGTTGCGTCATCTTAATGAGTATCTTTAGCGCTTTGTACGGTTCTGGCCAGGTGCAAAACGATGTCAGAACACTCGATTTGTTTCGGCACTTATTTGCAAACCGTAAGCACCATCCAATTATAGCGATGAGTTTGTCGAGGCTCGAATATTTTGTAGTGATACAACCAGTCTTGATTATTAAGTTGCACTGTGCAAACAGTGACTTTTCTGGTTTCCGGGATATTTTCCGGAAAGTTTATTTTGTGTTGAGGCCAGTATTGTTCATTCAAGGAAAGCCATGCTGGCCCGTTCCACCATAGTGTGTCGGACAGTAAAGTTGTTGGCCGAAATACCTCTCGAAGCACAATCTGCCGGATTGTCCTTCGTTGAAATATAGCGCCAGGCTGCGTCGGAAGTGACGTTCTGAATTTGCGTGACACGGTTCTAAACAAACTGCTTCAATTTGCCTGGTGACGATCGGATCCAACAGAGCGCAGTTACGGAGTCCGTCCACAGTAGACATCGATCAAATTTGAACGATAATGCATCTTTGGTTTTTGCCAAGAGAACCGCAGCGAGACGAGCACCACACAACTGAAGTCGTGGAATTGACAGTCGCTTTAAAGGTGCCACTTTCGTTTTCGCCATTAGCAAATTGACTGAGGTATAACCGTCAGTTGTTACATTTATGTAGATTGCAGCAGCGTACGCTGCGCTCGATGCGTCTGAGAAAGCGTGTAGTTCCACGGTGCAGTTCGCGACTACTTTTAGCCAACGCGGGATATGCAAATTTTGAAGT